TCTGTGAGTGCGTGTGTGTGTGCACTCTGGTATGTGTATGTATGTGCATGTGTCTGTGAGTGTGTAGGTATGTGTGTGCACACTGGTGTGTGTATGTATGTGCGTGTGTCTGTGAGTGCGTGTGTGTGTGTGCACTCTGGTATGTGTATGTGTGTGCATGTGTCTGTGAGTGTGCAGGTATGTGTGTGCACACTGGTGTGTGTGTGTATGTATGTGCGTGTGTCTGTGAGTGCGTGTGTGTGTGTGCACACTGGTATGTGTATGTGTGTGCGTGTGTCTGTGAGTGTGCGGGTGTGTGTTGCAGGGGTTTACAGCGGACGGAATATGGGAGGGCAGCTCCAGATCAAAGCTACACATCTCTCTGACAGAGTGATGAACGTTTCCGGGACCACAGCAAGAGAGTGTTTTCATTTGTATCCATTTTTATTGGCGTTGAAATCCATATTTTTAGTAGCATGTAAATCTTAAGTTGCTTAACTATTCTTAGAAGCATTTACACCAGCAGTTACTCCAAACTTTTTGGCATCAGAGACCAGTTTTGTGGAAGACAACTTCTCCACAGACCCAGGAGAAGGGGAAGGAATGATTTGAGAATGATCCAAGCCCATTACACTTATTGTGTACTTTATTTCTATTATCATTACGTTGTGATATATAATGAAGTAATTATACAACTCATCATGATGGAGAATAAGTGGGAGCCCTGAGCTTGTTGTCCTGCACCTATGGTCCCACCTAGGGGTGATGGAAGACAGTGACAGATCAAAGCTACACATCTCTCTGATAGAATGATTGAGGTTTCTGGGACCACAGCAAGAGAGTGTTTTCATTTGCATCCATTTTTATTAGTGTTGAAACCCATATTTTTAGTAGCATGTAAATCTTAAGTTGTATGTACATCTTAAGTAGCATGTAAATCCTTCGCATGGACAGTTCACAGTAGGGTTTGTGCTCCTATGAGAATCTAATGCTACCACTGATCTAACAGGAGGCAGGGCTCAGGTGGTAATGCAAGGGATGAGAAGGAGCTGTTTTTACAGCTGAAGTTTTGCTCTCTGGCTGCTGCTCACCTCCTGCTGTGCAGCCTGGTTCCTAACAGGTGGGGACCCCGATTTACCCAGTAAGATAGATACGTTATTATGGAAATTGAAATTATTCACCCTGCACCACCCAAAATTACCTTGCACACCTACATCCACCAAAGGGTCCTGTAGCACACTTTGGGAGCTGTAGACAGTAAGCCTGGAGCTCCATTGTGCACTCCATCTTTTCACCATCCATGGGCTACCATGCTGCATTAGTTTGCTAGGGCTGTCTTACAGACTGGCCACAGACTGGGCACCTTCAACAACAGAATCTTACTGTCTCACAGTACTGGAGGCCAAGAGTCCAAAATCAAGTTGTCAGCAGGCGGGTCTCTTCTGAGGGTGGAGCAGGAAGGCTGTGTTCCAGGCCTGTCTCCTGAGGTGTGGGTGGCTGTCTTCTCCCTGTTATTCTTCGTTAAGGGTGATTCTGGTGAGGGCTCAGAGGAGGAGAGCTGGATAGAATGTTTGTAGAATATGGAGGGGGCCGGGCATGGTGGCTCATGCCTGGAATCTTAACACGTTGTGAGGCTGAGGCAGGAGGATTGCTTGAGGCCAAGAGTTCAAGACCAACCTGCCCAACATAGGGAGACCCAGTCTCTAAAAATAAAATAAAATAAAATAAAATAAAAGAATATGGAAGGGAAAGGTCATTCTGATAAGTCTTAGATGGAAATGAAGAACATGCTATTGGAAACTGGAGGAAAGGTGACATTTGTCACAAAGTGACAAAGAACTTGGCTGCATTGTGTTCATGTCCAAGTGTTTTGGAAGGCAAAACTTAAGAATGATGAGACTGAAATTTGCTAGAAGAAATACCTAAGCAAAGTATTAAAGGAGCAGCTTGATTCTCTTGAATACGTATAGGAAAATGAAAGAAAAGAGGAATGATTTAGAGACAGAAGTTATCATCAAAAGGGAAGAGAATTTAGAGATTTGGGAAATTTTTAGCCTTCTCAGCCTGTCCATATTTTAACAAATAAAGTGTGGGAGAGAACACAAAGGTTGTGGATCAGAATACATGGATCAGGGCTGTGCTCTTCACCAGGACAATGAAAGAGCAACCCGGAAGGCGTTTTGTGGATTGCTTGGGATGCACTCTCATCACAGGCCCATGTTGCCAGAGCATTGAGGGCAGTACAGTTTCCAAGGAAGGCCCTAGGGTGCCCTGGGGATCTTAGGGTTTGCTTCCCAGCAGTCCCTGAAGTCACTGGTCCCCACATTCTGGTATGGCACTCCTTGGTTGCTCCAAGTGTTGCTCAGGGGGCCCTGGTGCAGTGGGGGACATGATGTCACCCCTCCAGAGGGCACAGGCAGAAAATCCTTTAGCAGCATCTACGTGGTGCTAATTCTGCAGGTGTGCAGATTTTGCTTTTCCGTTATAGAAATTGTGGAGGCAATGAAGAAATTAGCAGGGATAGATGTGTAACTGACAGTTGAAGAACCTCCTATCTGTTGATATAAGAATGTGATTGGAGCTAGAAGAGCCTCTTAGAGAATACTCAGCAGCATTGAACAAAAGGAAACAAACAAGGAAGGAGGAGAAAAGCTAAAAATGGTTCGGGAATATCGGCAAATGGTGAGATTGTTGTACAATAGTTCCCCTTTATCCACAGTGTGAGCTACCTATGGTACAGTAAAATAAGATATTTTGAGAGAAAAAGAGACTACATTCATTTAACGTTTATTACAGTATGCTATAATTATTATGTTATTTATCTTTGACTGAGCCTAGTTTACAAATTCAGCTTTACCATGGGTATGTAAGCATAGGATAAAACATAGGATATATGGGGTTTAGTATTATTCATGGTTTCAGCACAGGCACTGGAGGATCTCCAAATGGATCCCTCTTGGATAAGGAGGAACTATTGTACTTTTAGGAAAAATGATTTTTAAAAAAGTATGTTGAGTTAATTTGTCCCATTCCTCTTTTTATTGAAAGACTCAGTTTTTATATCCAATGTTGTAGCTTTTAATCTTTGGGTTTTATACAACAGAAGTTAAAATAACAAGAGTTGACTTCTCTCCAGGCCCTTTGCAGCTTAGTTGCATGAAGCGCAGCATATCTAGTACCGAATACAATTTCAGGCACTCTTCCAAGTGTTCCACTTGCATTATTTCATTCAATTTTACAGCAGCCTTTCAGTTGTCTATTATTACTACACTTTTGTTTTCCCCCAGAAGAAGAAACTGGGTCATAAAGACCTTAACTTGGGACAATCACGTGTGTAGGAAAGGGTCACCAGGATTCAAACATGCAGTCAGAAGCAGTGTTCTGCAAACGTCACTACCGTACTATTCTGTCCCATCCACTGACACTGTACTTGGATTCAGAGAACTTCACGTCCTAACTGTGGCAAAACAACGAATGTGCTTTATCTGCAACACGTGCAGATAAGGGCCCTTACTCTATTGGCAAGAGTAAGGCTATCTGGGTGGGAGTTGGGTGGGTCCTGTCTCCTAGGCAACAACACGTGCACACAAGCGGCCAATAAAGAACCCCTCTCCCAAGACCCAGGAAAGTGATGTCACTTCCTTCGTCTAGGTGGTTGCCGCAGCGACACGTTAGACCGAAGAGCGGTGTTGGGTACCCCAGAGACCCGGCAGTAGGGAAGTCACTTCCTCCCGGAGACGCTGTTTCCTAGCAACCGCCCTCCGCCTCTGTTATTAGCCCCTCCTCCTCGCTCGGTCCAGGACCGGCTCTGCGGGCGCAGCCAGGCCCAGGCCAAGGTGAGCAGGTCCTACCCGAGGCTTGGCTCTTGGTTCTCAGGGTCGCGGGGAACTGGCCACGGGCGTCCGGGGCTGGGAACAGAAAGCGGGACCTGGGGACAGAAAGCGGGACCTGGGGACCATGGGGGATCCCGACAGAGACCGCGCTTGGGCGTGCACGGGCCTGGTGTTCGCTGGTGCTCAGCGTATGGCGCGGTGAGGAGCGGCGAGCACCCGGACGTCACCTGGCCTGGTAGGGAACGGCACCCGGGGCGCGCACCGCTATGGGCGGCCCTGCCAGGCCTCTGCTCGGAGCACTGAAACCGCGATTTTAATGCGGCTCATTGCGAAAGCTTCGTCGTTTTGTTTACTTGGCTCTCTTTAACACTTTTGTGAGAGGAAAGTGGCTTGCAATCCATATCGCTGGCTGTTTGCGGGTTAGCATTAAGATCTTTTTCTTTGAATAGCGCTATATGCAAATATATAGATACGTTTTTTTGATGGTGGTGCTTATAATTTTTACGTCGACGATCCTTTTGATGGCCTTTTAAATAAGACATGAGTTATTTTGAAGGCAATGTTATACTTTAGAAGAGAGGTGAAAAATAAGATGTTCTATTTTAATTGGCATCATTTTGTCTTATTAACTTGTAATCATTTATTTGCAGAGGTTTTAAGTAGTTGCAAAACTATTTTAGGATATCTTCCATTTGAATTTTTATTTTAGGATATCTTCCATTTGAATTTTTTTAAAATAAGCTTGTGATAATTTGCTATTTCTTTACAAGAACTCCTTTTACATTTTTAAGTGAAGATGTAGCCCAATGTTCATATGAGATGCTTTTCTTTGACCTTTGCGGGGAGAAAAGAATCAAATGTAGTAAAATAAATTCTCAAGCATGCAAAGTCTGATTTGTTTTTTGTATATTTCAGCCACCATCAGAAATTGAATTATTCTAATAATTAGCTATTTTATAGCGGTAACGAGAAAAAAATACACTATGTCTGATGAAGTTTTTAGCACCACTTTGGCATATACAAAGAGTCCAAAAGTTACCAAAAGAACTACTTTCCAGGTAAAGTATTTCTATTTGGAATCATTTCACAGTGTAAGCACTGTATTAGATGGGTTGAAATTGGTGAGTCTAGGAACAGTCCTATATAAAGCAGGGGTAAATCTGGTATTTCTTTTGAGGTTTTGCACATTATCATGTTTCGACTGCATTCAGTATTACAAACTCCCCTATATGGTTTTAAGACTGCCGAAGTAGCCTCAATACTAGTTTCCTACTAAGTTAAAAGTGGAATTGCAACCTTAAATTGCCATTTTTATATAAAAACTTTTTTTTCTGTTGTAACATAATGTTTAAGTTTTTTTTCTGTTGAGTCACTACAATTTTGAACTCAGCCTCTAAGTTTGCAATATTGATTGCATCCATTTCTGAAATATGCCGAGACAAGAGCTCTTAAAAATACCAATTTCTTTCAAAATACCAGTTTTTAATAAATTATAATCTAAATTGAGCCCCTTCTTGTTTGTTAATCTCCAGCTCTAATTATAACCCGCAATTAATTTATTTGATAATACGTGTCTCCTCTAGTTTAACTGCAAGCTGCATGAGGAAGGGCTCTTGTCTGTGATGCTCTGCATTGAGTATGAGGCATAAAGTGGGTACATGGCATAAAGTGAGCTTGCAGGAAATATTTGTTAGATGAATGAAACCTAAGTCTGAAAGCAGTTGTTAATCAAGCATTGTTTGTTTAAAGAATTACTTGTAAATATGATACTTCCATGTTTAGATGGAAATTGATTTCAGTATCTCATTTCAGGATGAGCTAATAAGAGCAATTACAGCTCGCTCAGCCAGACAAAGGAGTTCTGAATACTCAGATGACTTCGACAGTGATGAGATTGGTATGTGACAGTATGGAAACGTGAACCAGTTTTCTTCTTTTTGCTTCCTTAGTTTTGTATTTAGCCAGCCCCCCGACTACCCATCCCCTCAATCACGTATGTTAAAATAATACCTATACAGTCACTAGTTTTAGACTTTCAACGTTTTAATTAGTAGAAAGCCACTCTTAATTTTCAAGAAGTCATATGAGTTTTCTTGTTTTTTGTTGTTGTTGTTGTTGCTGCTTTGCTTTGTTTTGTTTTCTGAATGTGTATATGAAAATATAAATTAATTGATGGCAGATTTGCAGTAAAAGGATGGCTGCCAGTGGTAAACCACATTGGAGAAAACAGGTTCATCTTTAAGATCAACCCGAGGAGATGCTATAGCTAGTTAGTAACTAGGTCCCACAGAACTAAACTTTGGTGCACATTAGAAGTACTTTTATAATGCTTACTATAAATCAGATTTTTTTTTGGGCTGTGATAAGGGGTAAATTTAAAAACCACAGACTCTTCATGTTTCATATATCAGTACTATTATAATTTGGTTTCTCTTAGCTATGTAAAAATATTAACATTTTAGTTTCAGGTGTAACCATTAAGCATATGGAATTCTAAACTTGGTGTTTTATTGTGTTTTTTTTTTTTTTTTTTTTTTTTTTTT